GGGGCAGAGACTGGAGCAGGCAGGGCGGGCGAGCAGGGGCTGTTTCTTTTCAGGTCCCTGCCTGCGCCGCAGACAGGTCTGCACACGGCCTCCTCCCATCAGGATCTTGGTGCTGCAATCCACCTCCACCTTCAGCCAGTCCTAGATCACGGGCAAGAGTGTGCCGGGCGCACTTGGTGAGGTTGCTGGACATGAACCTCAACCTTCCAGCCAGTCCTAGATCACGGGCAAGAGTGTGCCAGGCGCACTTGGGGAGGTTGCTGGACATGAACTTCAACCTTCTTGTGTGGGTCAGCCTCCCAGAGCTTTGCATCTTGCTGTGCCACCATCCAGCCCCCTTCAATAAAATTCGAAAGAAGGTAGGAAAGTAAGCACAGGAGCAAAGACCTGGAGGGTGTGTCCCAAGCGCCCCATCTTCCCTAGTGTGCGCACACACATGAATATACAGGCTCAAATGCATGCTGACACATGCACACACACACACACACACACACACACACACACACACACCTTCTGGAAGGGCTCATGGAGTCCAGAGGCCATCACCAGCTCTGGCCACCTAATGCTGGCCTGTGTGTCTACAGAGTCCTGTTCCAGGCAGCAGCCTCTCAGCTGCAACAGTAGGGCCCTGCACAGCACAGCAAGCCTGGAAAGTGACCTGTTGCTAGCTTACAAGGTGGCCTCAGTCCCCTCCTCTTTAGGGAAAAGATGCTCCAGAGGGGACCTATCACTGTGTTGCTGGAGTGCTGGGACTTGGAGGGGTGGACTCTCCCATATCCCCTTTATACAGGAGGAAATAGGGGCTCGATGGAGGATGAGCCGGAGCAGGATTTGAACCCAGGCTCCAGCACTCTCTCTTACAGCTCCCACCCATGGTGGCTGAGCCATCGCTCCCAGCACCATGGTGATTCATCTTCACTGGGGTATCTGCCCTTCAGAGAAAAAAACTGAGGCCACCTAGCCTGCTGGCAGGAGGCCTGTGAGGACCCCGAGATGAATGAGTGGAGTTTAACCATCAGGTCAGGTCCCTGCAGCTGAGGAGCACCATAGGCACTAAGGGAGTCAGCCAGGGGGACCAAGCCAACCAGGAGTGTGGGCTCCCCTCAGGGACTCCCCTCAGTTCTTCCAGGCACAAGTAGAGCTAGAGTCAGTGAGCTAGGCTGAAATGCCTCAAGAGCTATGTGGTCACCATGGCCAGTTATCACTCTTGCCCTCAGCCACCACTTCCCCTTTCTGCTCCCAGCCTGGCCTACCACTGGCCCCTTGGGCATTTGCGAAGCTGGCTCACCCTCTGTTGCAGGGCAGGGGCAGGTAGGGTGGAGGAGGTTGGGGTGGCAGGACTTCATTTTCCCTTGGACAGCCCATCCTCTGGAGAGGTGGTGCAGGTGTCAGTGTCTGGTCCTGAAACAACGACATTTCCAGGAGAGGTGAAGGTGGAGCACAGACTGGCCTTGACACAACTCACCCTTCCAGCAAGGCCAGTCAATGGCTACCTAAGGGCTTTTATCTTGTACGCAATGAGATGACAGCCAGGTGGGAATGAGCTCTTCAGAAGCCTGCACCTGCTTGGTTGCTGAGCTGAAATGGGGTGGGACTGTAACCTTCCCCCAAACCTCCTTCCAAACCTAGCTCCTGTAGAACCAGGAAGAGGTGGTGGGCTCCATCTTCCTCACGGCAGCTCCCCCCACTCTAACACACATGCCAGGTCTCCGTACAACTTGGGATAGGGGGGTAATACACTAAGGCAGGAGCTCTGTTTCACCTCCACTGCCTTCCAGGCAACCCCCAACCCTCTTGGATCAACATTTCACCCCTTCTTGGGGCTCTTTGGGTACCCTTTCTGTGTTGGGCCTGAGCTAGTGAGGAGAATTTCAATGTAGTACAGTCTACGTTAGGTGGAGGGAAGGCTGTATCCAAGTGGGGGCACAAGACCTTCTAGATTGTTTGGGAGACTGCCTGGAAGAGGGAACACTTGAACCATTGCTTTCATTTTTTAAAGTTTGTGCTAGTATATAGAAACACAATTGATTTTTAAATATTATTTTTATTACTAGAGTCACCAGAGAGACACACAGAGGGAGGGAAGGAAAGTGAGAAAGCAAGCTGTCAGGTCCAGGAGTTGAACTGTGGTCAGCTGTGAGAGTCCAACAGCTTAGCCACCATGCCACCTGCTAGCCCCACACAGTTGATTTTTTTTTTTCAGAAGTGATTTTTGCTATAGGGCAAATGCATTTGCCAGAGAGACACAGAGAGAGAACGTGAGAAATTGCCTCCTGGGGGGATGGCCATGTCACAATCCCTTTTCCTCCATTCTCCACTTGGGATTTTGGTCACACATGTACAAGTACCTGGCATGAGTTTCAAGTTGCTGGGTCTGGGACTCAAATTGTGTCAGCCCCTGGGGAGTCTGCACCTTAACCACTATGTCATCTGCTGGCTCCCATGACTGATTTTTATATATTGATCTTGTATCCTGCCACTTTGCTAAGTTTATTTATTAGTTCTTATCATTTTTCAATTAGCAATAATCGTGCCTCGGATAAACCTCCTTGGCTACGATACTGCCACTGCGCAAAGCTGGATTAGTTCTTATCATTTTTCATTGGATTCCTTTGAATTTTCTACACAGAAAAGCATCTAATCTGTGAATAGTTTTACCTCTTTTTTGCCCAATCTGGATGCCTTTTTTTTTTCTTCTTAGAATTACTTTATTTTAAATTTATCCATTTATATTTATTTTAATTTGACCAGAGTGGGACAGAATGAGAGAGAGAAAGCAAGCCGCCAGATCTGGGACTCAAACTGTGGTTGACCATGTGGGAGTCCAGTGTCCTTAACCGCGATGCCAACTGCCGGCACCGCCTTTTATTTTTTCTCACCTAATTATCCTGGCCAGAACTGCCAGCGTGATGCTGAATTAAAGTGGTGAGAGCAGATACCCTTACTTTGTTTCTGTTTTTTTGGGGGGACAGCTTTTAGTCTTTCACTGCTAGGTATGAAGTTAGCTGTGGATTTATTCATAGATGCCTTTTTTTAAAGAAGTATTTCATTTAACTTTATGTATATGTTTGTTTTAATCTGAACAGAAAGGAGAGAGTGAGAGAGAGAGAAAGTGAGAAAGTAAGCCACCAGGTCCAGGACTTGAACCATGGTCGGCCTTAACTACCATGCCACCTGCTGGCCCCCATAGATGCCTTTTTATCAGTTTGAAGAAGTTCTCTTCTATTCCTAGTTTGTTCTTGTCATGAAGGATTGTTTAATTCTTTCTTTCTTTTTTTTTTTTTTGGAGAGATTTTCGCTATAGGGCACGTGCACTCGCCAGACAGACAGAGAGAGACATAGAGACAGAAAGCGAGAAATCACCCCCCAGGGGGGATGGTCACGCCGCAATCCCTTCTCCTCCATTCTCCTCTTGGGATCTTGGGCACGCACGCACACGCACCCGGCGTGAGTTTTGAGCCACCGGGTCCGGGACGCGAACCGTGGTCGACTACGTGGGAGTCCAGCGACGTAGCCATTACGCTAACTGCTGGTTCCGGAGGATTGTTTAATTCTTTTGTCAAGTGCCTTCTTTGCTCTTATTGAGATAACTGTGGTTTTTTGTTCTTTATCCTATTGTACTGTATACTACATTACATTAATCAAGTTCTGAATATTAAATCAACTTTGCATTCCTGGGATAAACCCCAGCTATTCATGGTATGGAATCCTTTTTATACGTTGCTGGATTTAATTTGCTAGTATTCAGTGGAGGATGCATGTGTCTATATCCATAAGGGATGCTGGTCTGTGGTTTTCTTTTCTCATGGTATTGTTGTTTGGTTTTGATATCAGACTAATGCTGGCCTCACAGAATGCCCTCCTTTCCTGTTTCCTGGAAGAGTTTGTGAAGAACTGGTGTTCTTTTGAGCCAGTTCTAGAGGACTGAGTTAGTGTAGTAGCAACTGTAGCTGGTGGAAACAACATGGACCGAGGTCTGGAGGCAGGTGTTTGGTGGATTTGGTAATTGAGCCAGGGGTCTGGCTGGCACAGGTGCATAAAAGGTAGAGGAGAGCCTGTGATGAAGGTCCTCAGCGGGCCCAAAGAGGAAGGGTCAGGTTAGCACAAGGAGGCCTCAGAGATGTAGAAGAAAGGTGGGGAATGGTACACATGCTTGAGGATGTGCTAGGTGGAGGGTGATGGAGGAAAGACACCAGAGGCAGGGGAGAGACCTGAGGAGAGGAAGTGCAGGCTGCCCAGGGACAGTGGTGAGGACAGGCAGGGTGGCTAGGGAGGAGGCAGCCTTGAGGGCTGGGTATGATGCCAGGGGAGGAAATGGCCAGTGCACTGGGAACAAAGGCACCGAGGTGGGCTGGATGCTCTATGTGGGGTGGCTGGTTGGTGAGACTGGAAGGCCAGATGAAGAGGGAGGAGGCCTATAGATATGGCCTGCAGTGAAGGCCTGAAAACCAGGGAAGGGGGGCTGGCTCCATGCTTTGATCATTGGAGCAACTGGATCCTACATGACCAACTCTGTGGTTCGAGTCCCGGAGCTGGTGGCTTGAATAACACTCTGGGCATGTGTGCCCAAAACCCAAGAGGAGAATGGAGGAGAAGGGATTGTGGTGTAGCCATCCTTCTTGGGGATGATTTCTCACTTTCCCTGTTGCTCTGTCTCTGTCTCCTGAGAGCACATGCACCCTATAGCAAAAACCAAACCAAACAAACCAGTGAGTGGCGTGCACAGTATAGACAACTGAATAGGAGGAGGACCTGGGCTGGTAGAGCCATCACAAAGAGCCAATGTGGAGCCTCCTGCTGCCCTCTGCTGAAGGTGGCAGACATATGCAGGTGGGAAATGGAGGGGACAAGAGGCCTGGGAGGCCAGCAAGTGGCTTCCCCAGCCTTTGGCCAGCCTCGAGGATCTCTTCTAAAAGTCGTACCTGTGGATGCCAAGGCAGGTAGAAGCAGCCAAGGATCAGACCCCTGGCTCCTTTGACAATCTGAGGGTGGAGGCTGATTAAGACCCCCAAAGTGGATGGGGTGGATGGAGGTGAGGGTGGGCATTTGGCCAACCAGGCCCCTTTCAACTCCAACAACAGCTTTCTGACACAGGGTGTCACATTACAGATGTTCATCCCGAGATTCATGGAGAAAAAGTCACTTTCCCAAGGGGGTTTGCCAGCAAGGCACGAGGCGGGATTGGGACCTAGGCCGGGGGTCCCAGTGGGCGCTGATTGTGCCTCTCGGCGCGGGGTGCGGGAATACCCGCAGATGTTGGAGCTGTGACACGCGGCTGCCTAGTCTGCACCCGTCTTGTTTCCGCGCAGAGCTTGCGGACGCGCTCTCTGTCGCCGGCGCCCTCCACTCTCCCTGCGGCCAGGAGGGAAATGTGGACCACAGCCGGGGGCCGGCGCGGGGTGACGTGGCGGAGGGGCGGTGCCGTGAGGGGTGGGCCCGGGTTCTCCCCCTCCTGCGGGCCCCCCCCGGGCTCG